TTTCCCCTTTCCTTTTCATTCTTCTTTCTTCCCCCTCCTTTTTTTATTGTTGTCTTGGGACATATGTAAGCGGTGATAGTCCGCACAATGACTTTGTATAAAGGAGAGTTTCTTCTTCGTTATTTGCCTTGTACTTTACCTTTATTTTAACGGTTTATGGCTTTGGTGCGAGATAGGCGCCTATATGGCGAATCCTGGTTTTTCTTTCCTTCTATTCCTCCTGATGGCTTTTGGCCTTAGAAATATTTCGAACTAATAGAAATAGTGAACCATCATTATTCGATCGATGTGGAATTCTTCTTTTGGCGAAGGTCCTTGGCCTTAGGGTGTTATTTCGAACTTATCGAAATAGTAACCCGTCGTCATTCGATCGAGGTCGAACTCTTCGCTTTTTGGCGAAGGCCCTTGGCCTTAAAGGGTGTTATTTCGAACTTGTCAAAATAGTAACCCATCGTCGTTCGATCAAGGTCGAACTCTTCTCTTTTTGGCAAAGGACCTTGGCCTTAAAGGGTGTTATTTCGAACTTGTCGAAATAGTAACCCGTCATCGTTCGATCAAGGATGAACTCTTCTCTTTTTGGGAAAGGCCCTTGGCCTTAAAGGGTGCTATTTCGAACTTATCGAAATAGTATCCCGTCGTCGTTCGATCGAGGTCAAACTCTTCTCTTTCTAGCGAAGGCCCTTGGCCTTAAAGGGTGTTATTTCGAACTTATCGAAATAGTAACCCATTGTTGGTCGATCGATGTCGAACTCTTCTCTTTTTGGCGAAGGCCCTTGGCCTTAAAGGGTGTTATTTCTAACTTATCAAAATAGTAACCCACCGTCATTCGATCGAGGTCGAACTCTTCTCTTTTTGGCGAAGTCCCTTGATCTTAAAGGGTGTTATTTTGAACTTGTTGAAATAGTAATCTGTCGTCGTTCCCTTGGCCTTAAAGGGTGTTATTTCAAACTTATCGAAATAGTAACCCGTCGTCATTCGATCGAGGTCGAACTCTTCTCTTTTTGGCGAAGGCCCTTGGCCTTAAAGGGTGTTATTTTGAACTTATCAAAATAGTAACCCGTCGTCGTTCGATCGAGGTCGAACTCTTCTCTTTCTGGCGAAGGCCCTTGGCCTTAAAGGGTGTTATTTTGAACTTTTCGAAATAATAACCCATCGTCATTCGATCGAGGTCGAACTCTTCTCTTTTTGGCAAAGGCCCTCGGCCTTAAAGGGTGTTATTTCAAACTTATCGAAATAGTAACCCGTTGTCGTTCGATCGAGGTCAAACTTTTCTCTTTCTGGCGAAGGCCCTTGGCCTTAAAGGGTATTATTTCGAACTTAACGAAATAGTAACCCGTCGTCGTCCGATCGAGGTCGAACTCTTCTTTTTTTGGCGAAGGTCCTTGGACTTAAAGGGTATTATTTCGAACATGTCGAAATAGTAACTCGTCATCGTTCGATCGAGGCCGAACTCTTCTCTTTTTGGTGAAGGCCCTTGGCCTTAAAGGATGTTATTTCGAACCTATCGAAATAGTAACCCATCGTCGTTCGATCGAGTTTGAACTCTTCTCTTTCTGGCGAAGGCCCTTGGCCTTAAAGGGTTTCATTTCAAACTTGTCGAAATAGTAACCCATAGCCGTTCGATCGAGGTCGAACTCTTCTCTTTCTGGCGAAGGCTCTTGGCCTTAAATGGTGTTCTTTCGAACTTTTCGAAATAGTGACCCGTTGTCATCCGATCGAGGTCGAACTCTTCCTTTTTTGGCAAAAGCCCTTGGCCTTAAAGGGTTTCATTTCGAACTTGTCGAAATAGTAACCCGTCGTCATTCGATCGAGGTCAAACTCTTCTCTTTCTAGCGAAGGCCCTTGGCTTTAAAGGGTGTTATTTTGAACTTTTAGAAATAGTCGTCTGATCGAGGTCGAACTCTTCTTTTTTTGGCGAAGGCCCTTGGCCTTAAAGGGTATTATTTCGAACTTGGAGAAATAGTAACCTGTCGTCGTTTGATCGAGGTCGAACTCTTCTCATTTTGGCGAAGGCCCTTGGCCTTAAAGGGTGTTATTTCGAACTTATCGAAATAGTAACCTGTCATCGTTCGATCGAGGTCAAACTCTTCTCTTTCTGCGAAGGACCTTGGCCTTAAAGGGTGTTATTTCGAACTTATTGAAATAGTAACCCGTCATCATTCGATCGCGGTCGAACTCTTCTCTTTCTGGCGAAGGCCCTTGGCCTTAAAGGGTTTCATTTCGAACATGTCGAAATAGTAACCCATCGTCGTTTGATCGAGGTCGAACACTTCCCTTTTTGGCGAAGGCCCTTGGCCTTAAAGGGTGTTTTTTCAAACTTATCGAAATAGTAACCCATCGTCAGTCCCAGATTTTGGAGAGCCAGATATCTTCTGGGAGAGTCCCAGTCCGTTTGGCATTGCTCACAATGGAGGATACAATGTCGGAGAATGTGAAACGTTGCTGTTTTGCTTAGGTTCGTTCTGAGCACAAATTGTAATTTCCTTGTCTGGCTCCTATCTTCCGGCTCGGAGGTATTATCGGTAGGCGGTATCACAGTTGTTTTGTAGTAGTTTTTCGTCCTTTAATTGAGGTGTTTCTTTATTCATTCGCCTGCGCGACCATTGTATTCCTACTTGAGCATAGAGTAGGAGGCGAGTTAGAATGAAACTTTCTTTGTCCTCGTCCGGTGGTCCAATGGGGGAGAACTGGTTGATAACGCCGTTCCCCATGTTTGGTGTATCGATGGTTGATGGGGCGAAGGTTTCTAAGCTTGGTAATTTTGCTCGGCTGTCCTCCCCCTACTGCACTACTCATTTGTCTCGCGTGGATTTTTTCTTCGCGCTCCTTTTGGTGAGTGATCGTATTTGTTGTCTTTGATCTGGGAGAGACTAGGAAATTTCACTAAGAAATCCCCACAGACGGCACCAAATTGTTTGACTCAAAAGATATCGAAAACTTTCTGAACAAATCAATCAAAGAAGATGAGGGGATAAATCTTAGTCAAATATAATTAATTCCATATCAAAGAGCTTGTAGTATGGATCACATGTGGGATGAAAGAAATATAAATGATTTTATTGAGATTCAATATTGTATCTCCCATCGATCAATGGGGAGACATCTTTTACATATTTTCCTAGAGATCACTTCTTCTCTCTCAAGAATACAAGAAGAGAGCTTTTTTTGCATCAGAGAGAGATCGGAGGAGCCGCCTCCTTATTGAAAGCTTTCCCTTGCTATATATAGTCGAGGCACCCTTGCCCTTTGCTTGGACCGACGTTTGTCTGCCTCCAATGTGTCTTGGTCGTCCCTTTAAGCGTTGGTCCTTCCGGCTCGACGGATGTCGGGAAAAAGGTGTAGAGTAAGCTATGTTATCTTTCACTGTCCGGTCCTTTAAGTGGGACGTTGATAAGTACGTGACAGTCAGATTTTGACCAATACAAACTACTTAATCAAAATCTATATATCCTCTAAATGACTGTTTTCGCTCCTCAAAAGTGAGCAAATACTTGTTAAAATTATTCTATGTATATGCAACAAATCTCCTTCACTAAAAATGGAATGGCAATGATTTCATGGGAAAATTTTGCCAGATCAAGCATATATGGGTATGTGTTGGCCAGCCAAAGTTGTGGGGCCGTTAACTAATTCAAGGCATCTAAAATTTGGGGAAAAAAGAAGTTAAAGGCATCTGAATTCTGAAATGCTTCGGCTGTAGCTCCAAGGATAAGGACGCCACATCCGCCAAGACAATTTTGTGACAGTGACCTAATTTTATTTCATTGTCACCTTCTTCCTCTTTCCTATCCACCTTTCTCTGCTTTGATCATTACGCTTTGGTTTTTATAATGACGTCGTAATGTGTAATTTTTATAGCTTCTCGTACTCGCTCAAAGATTATGCAAAAACACAAGGAGTAGCTATGAACAACTATAGTAGCAATGATTCATCTTTTTTTTTTCCCGCTAAATCCCTAGGATATATACAGGATAATAGTAATGTCGTTCTTCTCTCTCAAAATGTCTTGTATATTCCGTAAGTTTCTTATGTTGTAGAGTCTCGACTCTCAAGAACTACAAAATTGTTATTTTCGATAAAATATTTTTAACATTAATGATACAAAAATAATTTTATAAATTTACTGATATAATGGATAAAATACTATGACACGTAAAATTAACCATGAATACTTTTCAACTACACGAACATAATATTGATACATTGTTTGTTTGGTCACATAAAATAAATAATTTTTTATTTGCCGCATAAGAAAAAATAGAGAGAGAGAAATTCTGAAACTATGATATACTAGTAGTAATATTGGAGACATAATTGTTTTGGTACTACTGTACCCACCAGTGTGTACGTGCCACCTTGATCAATTTAGTTCTCATCCATTTTGCCACTTGCTTCTTTATTGGATAATAAATTCTGCACTTACACGAAAAATAGAAATTGAAAATTACTACACTAATAATTGACATTGAGTGCTCATATAGGAAAATTCTGATTTTGAAAGCTATAGGGTATCAGTTAATACTATGAGCAGGGATAAATAAAAAGAAAAGGAGAATCCAACGGTTGAGGGGCTGTCATCTGCGGTGACCCGGAGCCGCTTTCGCCCAATACTTGGGGAATCCAACCCAACCATACACACCCCCCAACTCCACTTTACCCAACCCCATACTAATACTATCCACTACGCAATCACACAAAATATATTATTCTCGCCCTCCTAATGTTGGGGGTGGAGTTTGAATTTCGACAATTAAATTTTTTAATTTTATCGTAAATTTGGACATAAACTTTTTAAGTGTTTTCAAACAAAATTTATATATTTGAAAACTATATAAAAATACTATAAATCACGATAATTAGCAATTCAAAACATCTAAAAGACATGAAAAAAATCACGGTCAAATGACTCCTAGTGGTGCAATAAAAAGCTTTTTTCAAAAAAAAAATTTGGTCCGAGCAATAAAAGAACTAACACAAATGAACTCTAGTTAACTGCACAGTCTAAGTGACAAAAGGAAAAAAAAAACTGATGGTTAGACTCCTTTATATGTACGCACTTCATTCTCCTTGCCATGTCCATACTCTTCTTCTCTCTCCTATTTCTTGCTTAGTTTCTGTATTGGGGCAAAGAATTTGATCTTTGTCTCCACTTTCCTCCTTATTGACAACTCTTAATCTTTCTTCATGCCCTAAGCTAGTGAATAAGCTATACCATATATTTTTTAATCATGAGTTGTAATGGTTGTCGAGTCCTTAGAAAGGGATGCAGTGAAAACTGTATTCTTAGACCCTGTTTGCAATGGATTGAAACTCCTGAAGCTCAAGGCCATGCCACCATTTTTGTTGCCAAGTTCTTCGGTCGTGCCGATCTCATGTCCTTCATTTCCGCTGTCCCTGAAAACCAACGGCCCGGTATGTACACTCTGAGCATAATTTTTTTTGCACTGTTAGCATAACTTGTGTACACTGTCATGTACACAAGTTAATTAAACTCAATTTCTTTTTGTTTTCTTCATCTAATCTCTCTTCTATTTTTTGTTTCTGAAATGAGAGATTGGATGTATTGGTAGGTCTATTTCAATCCTTGCTATATGAAGCAGCTGGAAGGACAGTAAACCCAGTGAACGGAGTTGTGGGACTATTATGGACCGGCAATTGGCACGTTTGTCAAGTGGCGGTGGAGACAGTCCTCCGCGGCGGCACGTTAAGCCCGATACCGGAGTTATTTGGTAAGTCATCAGAACTTGATGAGGAATCTGAATGCACAAACGTGTTTAAGCTTCTAAATCATACGCGATCGAAGATGCAAAAGCGGCGTCGTTCGTCAGATGAAGCAGCAGCAAAAGTGTTGCAGTTGGAAAATCTTGATCTCAGTTTATTAACACGAGGTTTTCAGAGTGAAATCGTGTATAGTCCGTCAAGAAATTCAGAGGAATCTGTAACCACTACGTGTTTCGAGAGTAGTCTTGGAGATCATCAAGGAAAACAACCCAGACTCCTGAGCTTGTTCACTTAGGTTTTTTATTAACTTGAAACCTTTTTTTTTTTTCTAATGAGGAAGGGTTTTTTTTCCGGAATATAGATTCTGGTGAGGTTTTTTGTACATTACTGGCTCAGGATTCCCCTTTCTTCAACCTTTTAATTTCTGATATAGTACAAGAAAGTAGAAGCATGCATGGGGGAAAAAATGAAAGTTTGCCGGTGATTCCTTCTTTTGCTGTTCTTTTTGTTTCTTTGCTTTCTTTTTGGTGTCTAATAACCACTCTAATGAACGTTGGACATGAATAGAACGATATGTTTACTGATCTCACTTGTTTTAAATTGTCAGACACTGAATGATCGATATTGTTTTTCTTGAGTTTAACTTCTACTCAATGACAGTGTGGAGGAACTTTTACAACATTAAGTCATAAAATATAATTACAGATAACCATTTAAAAAAATACTATGATTAGTAACTTAGAAAATAAAGCATGTTACTTAGCTTGCTAAACATGTTAAGCAAGTCTATATACAGTATACTATATGTTAAATCAATTTTCCTTATATTTTTTATTAATATAGTTGAATGTTTTCCTGTTTCTTGAAGTAATGGCGTCCTGATCCTATTTTTTATACAATAACCCAGTGTACATACTAGATATGTCAAAGGAAGAAAATAAAAAAAGAGAAAAGAAAGAAGCGGCCGATGGTGCTATTTAGCTGAATATGCTTGACGTTTAAGTTTACCAAGTCTAACTAAGATAAGATTTTGGATTTACAAGACATACATTTAGTCACCATTACATTACCAAAAACGTAACTTGGAAATCATTGTCAAAGAACCCTAATCTGTATTTATGTTTGGAAAAATGGGAAGCTTCAAGGTTTGATCATGCAAATGAAGGTGGCTGTTGCGAAAGCCAAATGTATATAGTGTGAATGAGTCACAACTACTATATCAAAAATTATGGCAGCCACTAAATAATAAATAAGACAATAATACAACAATAAAAGGAATACTAGAATTTACAAGGTTCGGCCAATTTTGCCTAATTTCTCGGACACAATTAATATTTTATTCCACTCCAAAATACAAGTCAAATAATACTAAAGAGAGAAGATACAAATGTCTTAAGGAGATGAGAAGGCAAATGAGAGGTGTGTATAAATCCTAAACATTAGGCCTCCTTTTATAGAGAAAAATTCCCAAACAAAAGTGTCAACCACCGATGTGGGATATTTGACAACTTCAACAAATCTCCACCTTGGCAAAATTCCACATCTTCAATTTTCTCTCAATACCAAATTTTGGCTGTGTCTTCATCTTCAATCTTCAGTGTTCAACAATGTTGAAACTTGACCGCAGTCACCACTTTTGTTAGCATATCAGCAGGATTCTCTGTAGTATGAATTTTATTCACCGTGACTCCACCTTCTTCTATGATTTCTCGTACGAATTGATATTGAACATCAATGTGTTTCATCCTTGCATGATAAACTTGGTTTTTCGCTAATTGAATGACACTTTTACTATCACAAAAAATTATGATACTTTTTTGTCTAATACCAAGCTCCTTTAGCAACCCCTGAAGCCAAATTGCCTCCTTCATAGCCTCTGTAATAGCCATGTACTCTGCCTCTGTCGTAGACAAAGCAACTGTTGACTGCAAAGTAGACTTCCAACTAACTGGTGCAATTGCAAAAGTAAACACATAACCAATAGTTGATCTTCGTTTGTCCAGATCACCTGTAAAATCTGAGACACAATATCCAACTACAGACTGATTGCATTCCTACTAGAAAACTAACCCAACATCTACAGTATTATGAATGTACCGTAGAATCCACTTCACAGCTTGTCAACGCTCATTTCCAGGATTATGCATATATCTGCTAATAACTCCAACAACTTGTGAAATGTCAGATCTCGTACGGACCATTGCATACATCAAGCTACCAACAGCATTTGCGTATGGTACCTTTGACATATACTCTCGTTCAGCTTCATTTTTTGGCGACATAGTAGTGCTTAGCTTAAAATGGGGAGCAAGTTGAGTACTAACTGGCTTAGTCTTCTTATCTATGCCAAAACGTTGTAGTACTCTTTTCAAATATTCTTTCTGAGATAAACAGAGTTTCTTTGAACGTCTATCTCCTATTATCACCATGCCAAGAATTTTCTTTGCCTCACCTAGATCCTTCATCTCGAACTTCTTCTTCAGTTGAATCTTCAACTTATCAATTTCTTCCGAATTCTTGGAAGCTATCAACATATCATCAACATATAGGAGAAGATATACAAAGGAACCATCTTTAAGCTTGTGCAAATACACACAATGATCGTATTTGCTTCTCTTGTACCTTTGCCGCAACATAAACTTGTCAAATCGTTTGTACCATTGTCTAGAATTGTTTCAATCCGTACAACTTCAAGTTTGCACACAATATTTTCCTTTCCAACAATTTTGAATCCTTCTGGCTAAGTCATGTAGATTTCGTCCTCCAAGTTTCCATGTAAAAGCGCAGTTTTTACATCCATCTGAACTCGTTCCAAATCCAACTATGTTACCAAAGCCAACATAATTCTAATGGAGGAATGTTTTACAACTTGAGAAAACACTTCATTGTAATCAATTCCCTCCTTTTGAGTATATCCTTTGTCCACTAATCTTGCTTTGTAGCGAACATCTTCTTGGTTAGGAAATCTCTCTTTCTTTGCAAATACCCATTTGCACCCAATTGCTTTTTATCCCTTCGGGAGATTGGCCAATCTCCATGTATGATTCTGATAAAGGGATTGTATTTCATCATTCATGGCAATCCTCCACTTATCTTCTTCTGAATTTTGGACTGCGTCTTTATAAGTGGTCGGAACATCATCAACTATAATTGAGGCGGCACAAGCAACCGTCTCTATGAGAGGAACAGGTTTTGTTATTATCCTTTTTGGCCTGCTAGTTGCTATTGATTCAAGTTGTTGTTGAGGTTCCTGAGTTGGAATCTCCCTCTCTACTGGCTCTTCTTCCATAGGATAATCTTCATTTGTTTCCTCCTCTGTTTCTTGTGTAGGAAAAATAAATTTTCACTCAAACTCCACTTGCTTAGAAGCACCCTCATTTTGTTTGGTATCTTCTGTTACCTTATTTACCATAGCAGATTCATCAAAGGTAACATCCCTGCTGAATATTACTTTCTTTGTCATAGGACACCATAAGCGGTATCCTTTGACTCCAGAAGTAATCCCCATAAAAATAGTCTTCTTTGCCCTTGGATCCAATTTTGACTCTGTCACATGATAATATGCAATTGAGCCAAACACGTGCAAATAGTCATAATCTACAGCAGGCTTTCCATACCATTTTTCAAATGGTATCTTGCCGTTAATAGCAGTAGATGGTAGACGATTAATGAGGTGGCATGTATATGTAATTGCCTCAGTCCAAAATTCTTTGCCCAAGCCAGCATTGGACAACATGCACCGTACCTTCTCCAGTAAAATCCGGTTCATACGTTCTGCCACTCCATTCTGTTGTGGAGTATGTCTGACAGTGAAGTGTCGGATGATGCCATCATTTTCACAGACCTTATTGAAATGATCAGTTTTGTATTCACCTTCATTGTCTGTGCGAATACACTTGAAGTGTCTGTTCGAATACCTTATTGAAGTGTCTGTTTGATTCTCCACCATCGTTTTTCATTTGAGAAAAATTCTCAACACTTCATAGTTCCTCTTCATTGTATACACCCACACTCTTCGGAAAAAATCATCAACAAAGGTTACAAAATAGTGCTTCCCACCCAATGAAGGTGTTTTGGAAGGACCCCAAACATCAGAGTGTACATAATCCAAAATGCCTTTAGTATTATGGATCGCTGTACCAAATTTAACCCTTGTCTGTTTCCCTTT